TGTGACGGCTCTTATTTCTCTAGGATATATTCCAAGGAGCGGGATAGCTGGATCATATGGTACTTCTATTTCTAGCTTTTCAAGGAAGCACCAAATCGATTTCCAAAGTGGTTGTACCATTTTACATTCCCACCAGCAGTGTATAAGTGTTCCAGTCACTCTACAACCTCTCCAGCATTTATTTATTATTATTTTTTGGATTAATGCTAGCCTTGCTGGTGTGAGATGATATCTCACTGTAGTTTTGATCTGCATTTCTCTAATGGATAATGATCATGAGCATTTCTTCATGTGTCTCTTAGCCACCTGAATATCTTCTTTGGTGAAATGCATATTCATATCCTTTGCCCATTTGTTATTTGGGTTATTTGTCTTTTTGTTGTTGGGGTGCTGCAGTATCTTGTAGATTTTAGAGATTAGATGCTGATTGGATTTGACGTAGACAAAATTTTTTTCCCAGTCTATAGGTTGTCTTTGACTCTTTTGGTGAAGTCTTTTGACGAGCGTAAGTGTTTGATTTTTCAGAGCTCCCAGTTATCTAGTCTGTCTTTTGGTGCTTGTGCATTGTTACTTATGGTTTGTATTGTGTTTATGCCATGTATTAGGGCTCCTAGCTTTGTCCCTATTTTTTCTTCCATGATATTTATCGTTTTTGATTTTATATTTAAGTCTTTGATACATTTTGAGTTAGTTTTTGTGCATGGTGTGAGGTATGGATTTTGTTTCAGTTTTTGGCAGATGGATATCCAGTTATGCCAAAGAGACTGTCAAAGAGACTGTCTTTTCCCCAGCTAACAGACTTTGGGCCTTTGTCAAATATCAGCTGTTCATAGGTGGATGAATTTATGTCTGGATTCTCATTTCTGTTCCATTGCTGTATGTATCTATTCTTTTACCAGTACCAGGCTGTTTTGACTACTGTGGCAGTATAATAAGTTCTAAAATCAGGTAGCGTGAGGCCTCCCACTTTGTTCTTCTTCTTGAGGATTGCTTTACTTATCTGGTGCCTCTTCCCTTTCCATATGAAGTTGGTGATTAGTTTCTCCATCTCATTAAAAAATGCTGGTGGAATTTGGATCGGGATTGCATTGTATCTGTAGATTGCTTTGGGTAGAACAGACATTTTCACAATGTTGAGTCT